AGAAAAAACTCATAGAAGTAGCTAAGAAATATAGGCAGTGTATAAATTATTACAGTGACTTTGTTATACTAGGATTGAATCATGCATACGAAGACTGTGATTGCTACGGAATTTGTATTGATCAATTAGCTTTCAATAATACATCTATAGTAATCGAATGGCATGTGAAAAAGAACTTCTTTATAGAAGAATATACTAACTACCACTTATTTTTAACCCCCAGTATTACTAATAATATAACCCAAAATAATAGTTGCCAAGGACTATTACTTTCATTTTTAAATATATTTCAAAGAAAGCATGTGTCACAAGATATGCTTTATTATGGGGTATGCATATACACAGAAAGAAAAACATCTAAAAGTTATATAATTCCTATTTTATGCCCTAAAATGAAAATTCGTTTGCATGGATTGCTCAATAAAAATAATGAAATGCATCATATGCTTAGTTCTAAATTGAAAAAAACTATTGTGCGATTAAAGAAATATATAAATGAAAATGTTCAAGATATTCATAATGTCTCTAGAATACAGATAACTGTGAAAAGTGTTAATTACACAAAGTCTAAGCTGGGACTGCACTATAATATTTTAAATACTTTCTTCTAAATGAGAAAATAGTAGTGATAAACAATTGAATATTAGATCTGAAGGTAAGTCTAATTTAGGTAAGTCTTTATTTAGTTGCATTGTGCAGGAGTTAAAATATTTCCTTAAAATATAGAAATCCTAAAATTATATTTAACTTGCTATTTATGTATTACTATTTTATTTTAATAAATCATGCATAATGAAATAAATTATTTTTCTAAAGAATATTTAAAATAAACCTTTCACTTTTATATTTATAATAGAAAAATAAACACATTTTATAAGAAGAAAATATTAAAATAATTAAATAGACAGACTATTTTTTATTTTCTTTTCTATTAGACATAATATGGGGCCATCTATTCAATGACACTACTATTCATGCACATACCAAAGGTGGCCATCCACCAGAGTATTTATTTACACTTTGGTCAGCGAAGTTTTTCTTGGTGGTATCTCTATTCACTCTGATCAATCATAAACTATTTAAGTAGACTGTAGATAGAAAAAATAGGAAAAGCAACAGAGTGTCAAGAAAAGCCATATTAACAATAATCTGGCATGAAACAACACAGGATACTGTGATAATCAAGACAAAGAATGCACACAAAGTATCTATATACATCATAGGTTATTTTATCTGAGACAACACATCTTTTTCATTAGAATGTACTTGTAATATTACTGTATAAATAACTGTTTTGTTTATACTGTAACTAAGGAATTTATCTTAAATATAATATAATCATAGCACAACTATAACATTGGTTTATACCTATTTCTTTATACCTTAGGAATAAACTTTTTTAAACTAAAAAAATAACCTAAGGTATTTTTTTGAGTTAAATATGAAAAAATTAAATAATTTTAATTTTAATATATCCCATGTTACATAATAGGAAATTTTTAAAGAGATCAGTGATGCGAAGAACGGCAATAGTGAAATATAGTTTACGCCTATCTGTATATTTAGTAATACTAACAATATTCGGTGTTGTTGTTTGTTCATCAAATAATGTTTTTTCGGATATTAATCTAGGAATGAACAACCCAGAAAGCAGTTCATATGAAGGGGGGTTCCGACTGAGAACACATTATATTATAATGGTCAAGCAGGTCGTGCAAATAATTATGTGGATGATTATTTGATTAATCCACCAACAGCAGAAGATTTAATGAATATACCAATTTCGCAGCTATACAACTCAAATATTCCAGGAGTACCTTTTAATATTGAAGCATATTTTCCAAGAAGGCTAGATGCAATAAAAATAACAGATAACCAGATGCCAACAACATCTTCACAGATGCATAATACAGAGAGGCTGCCAATAGATAGAAAAACCCCTGATTTGGTAAATACAGAAGGATCTGCACCTGTAATTAAAAAAAGAAAATATACTGAAGACACAGAAGAAGAAATAGAAATCATAGAAAGAAGCACGGATACTAGAAACTTTTCTATACTATATATGGTTAGAAATTCAAAAGAATATGCAAATTTCATAAACTCTCTTCATAGGTATAAACTAGCTATGGCAAAAGCCACAAAGAATGATGAACAAAGTGTGCCAATATTCTTTACTCCTGAAGTGAATATTCAAGATATATATCCTAAATTAATGGACGATATAAAGAATGCTGCTGAAGAAAGTAAAATTATATGGTATGGTTTATATTCTATTAAACAAGAAAAAAATGTAAGAACAAAGTTGGAATTTATTAAAGATATATCAATGGGTTCATATAAAGTAGATCAAATGTTTAAAAATTACAATAGTTTATACACATACGAATTGATATTTAATTTAAATAAGTACTTAACTAAAGAGTGCCCATCTTGCTATAATATATCTCTAATGAATCTAATAACAGAAGAATCAATGCCATTTAATTCCAATCAAATTACGATTGGCGACATATATCTTAAAAGAGAGATGAGTCTTCCATGGCATGCAGAAAGTTTGTTGCTGTCATATATAGATCAGGCATTACAAACATCCTTTGCTGAGTTTGAAGAAAATTTAGATGACCTACAGCTAAAAAGACGGCTGCTATTGATTTTATGTATTCCTGAGATATATGAAGACCTATTTTATATGAAATATGAAGAGATTAGTCGAGTAAAAAATAGAATTCTTGCAATTTTTTCTAATAGAGTAGTTAAAGCACAATGTAGTCTATTTTGTATTATAGAATATTTGCACGGAAATATTTACAATAAGAAACATATAATGGAAGAATCATATAAGAAACTACAAGAAGCCACGGCGTCTTATTGTTTTTTATACAAACATAGCGAAATAGATATATATAAACTTGTGTATAAAACATTTGCCGATTTCTACAAATATTCTTTATATTTATATGAAGTAGACACTGATTATTATATAAATAATGGCCATCTAACAGAAAAGCAGAAAATTTCATATGATGCCATGAAAAAATATATAAAGATACCAGAAAACAACATAATTCCATACCAAGGAAAGGGAGTTGTCATAGCGCACAATTATAGTAGATGTATCGTAAGATTCCAATATGTTGGTTCTATGCCAGCAAATGAAAGAATGTTAGACAATATAGTAGACAAACAAACCCGTTATAATTATAAGTATAAAGAGGGTATAGAACTATCTTATCGCCGTCACTACCACGTGCAAGTTGTAGACAATAGTGCGCATCGTGTGCATATTATGCATATTCCTTTCTTTGTTTCTAATGACGCTGGGACTATTAAGTATAACTATATACACACACTTGAAGATATTGCAGATTATATAAAGAAAACACTCCATACTAAGGTCAAAACACGCCAGCAAATTAATGCGGGCATATATCCATTCAAATATAATAGAGCAGAAAAAACATGGTCAATGGTAACTAAGCTGACTAACACAGAGGCTAAAAGAAGAAAGTTAGAAGTCACAGAGAATGAAATGAATAAAACAATGGAAGAAATGCACAACTCTGGATTTGATGTTGTATTCTACTATATAAAAGAGAATATAGAGACAACAGAATTTGCATTTGCGCAGTTTAACCCTATAGGTGAAATGGTTATTAATAAAGCGTATGAAGAGAACAGAGAGGAAGCAAAGAAGTTATTTGATGAATATGAGATGAATGTTGGCTCACCAAGAATTCCTTTATTCCTTCCCAAGCTAATGACATCAGCTATTCACATGGGTCCATACGTTCTAAAGTCTGAAATGTATCAATCTAAGACTCTAGGCGATTACCAAGACTTAGTTCCCATTGAATTTTCTAATTGGCTAGACCATCTTGCAAATACAAACAGTTTAAACACAAAGATTGTAGAATTAATCAATCAAAATAAGCATGAAATATACTATTATAGCGACTTTGTTATACTTAGCATAAACCAGCCATATGAAGATTGTGACTGTTATGGTATGGAGACTGTGCAAACAGATTACAAATTTGGCATGATAGAAATCGCTTGGTACGTAAAAAAACCATATGGCATAGGAGAATATACCAATTATGAACTAGATCTAACACATACAAATACCAATTGTAGCATGCGCAATGTAATAGAAAGAAGTAAACCAGAGGTATTAGGTTATTTCTTAGAAATGCTTCAAAGAAAACATGTGTCACAGGACATGGCCTATTATAGTGTATTTATATATACATTAAAAGACACAAATAAGACAAATATAATTCCTCTTTTCTGTTTAGATCTAAAAGAACGTATGAACAGTTTATTAAGTGAGGGCAGTGAAATGGATAACATTATTAATCCTATATTTAAAGAAAAAGGCAAAAATTTCAAGGATTATCTAAATGAAAGAATACCAAATGTTTATGATATTTCTAAAGTACATATAAGTGTAAAGAATGTTAATTATACAAAGTCTAAGCTTGGTTTAAATTATAATATTTTAAATATTTTCTTCTAAAAGAAGACAAAGAATACCTAAAAATTAATTGAGTATTAGACTCAACTGACTGTTTAAGTAATATTCACCAAATTATCATTAATTTGAGTATAAAGTTTCTTTAACCCAATGGTTATTTTAGTAGAAGAATATTTATATGCCATATTATCATTACATATATACATCAAATGTACTTATTATATAAGATTTAGAGTTATATGCAGTGCAAAAGACATTCCTATGCTAATAGGAAGCAAATAAATACCTAAAGCAAATTATTCACTATTTCAATATATTCCGATTTATACAGCATATTCTATAATACTAAAGAATCTAAAAATATAAAAGACATGGAAATAAAATAAAAATAGCCCAAATTATATCACAGAACAGAGTATATCTATTACTTATTTGCCACTATAACACTTGATATACCAGGAATACGTCTAAGTATAACCAGCCTTACTGCACACT